TACCCCAAGATTTCAGCCTTCTAGCTTCTCAGATCCTCGAGTTATGAGCTGACCCCGAAAAAACTTGGGAGGGCGCGTACGCGGGTACCACGCGGGTTTTGGCGCCCATTTTGGGGATTGGGGGCGGTACATGCGTGCAGATTAAGTTCCCGACAGCCCTGCAGCTTTTACAGGTCCTGAGATGAAAGTGCGTGACAGACGCACACACAGACACACAGACATAGTATGCGTTTTTCGCATTGCATTGCTGCAAAAAACGCATAAAAAACCCAGAGCATTTGAAACAATGAAAAAAAGTTTTTTTTTTCTTTTTTTTTCATTAGGTCCGAATGCTTCAGCTGAACGATAAGCAGTGAGCAGCGAACGTGCTGGTAAAACTAAAAACTAAGTACTGAAAGGCAATCTGTGAGGAATTCACTATATTCTATTTCTTTTCTAAAATTCAGTTAACTTTATTTCGAGTTTCCCGCTACGAGTATATTCGCAGTGGGCAGAATTTTCGTGAGTGAATTTACTGAGTGAGAAGCCTGACTAAAAAAACTGCTAGACGGTAGGGGCGCTACCTCAAAATGACGCTTTCACGTAGCGTCGGTTCTGTCGTGCCCAATGCAAGCATTTCGCCCATGTGCCGAGCTATGCACGGCTATAGGTTTCTTCTAAGTCTGTGGAAGGCACGCAGTCACGTATTTTTATGACGTGTTTTTGTGATAAACATGCAAAAACACAGATTCACTGCGTCAAAGTAATCTTTTTACTCCACACTGCTACAGTGAGTTCTCTGCTTATTTCAATTTTGTAATATTTGGTAACGACGGGGGAATTCGTGGGTGTGTGTGCGTGTGTGTGCATGTTTTTATGATGGGCATATATGTTTGTGTTTGTGTGTGTAGGTAGTTTAGTACGCCAATAATCACTTTAATTTTTTTTATTATTCGTGAGAATACAATATCACAGGGCAGCAATAAGTGTAGTAACATATCAATTCACAACAACATTTTACAAACAAAAGAGGATGGGAATGACCGCACTGTGCAGCTCGAGTACTAGTGGAGCCTTTGCTTGCAGCTAAAATATGCCATGCTGAAAGAGCGCCTCCAGATTTCATTCTCTGTGAGAAGCGAAAACTTTTGCAAGTGACCTAATGCAGTGCCAAAACTGGCCACCCAATTGCACGGTCATCAACATCGACATACACAAAATTTGCATAAATTTATGCGACGGCAAACAAATCTGCAAAAATCCGAACCACGAAAAATCGAAACCCCCGCGTTGTAGTGTATTCAACTTTCAAGGAGTGAAAATATAATGAAAACGGTACATTTTTGCGATTCGTACTTTGGGAAAGTATATTACACGTCATCACACGTTTTCGTTTGCCTAAATTCAAGAAAAGCACAAAAGCCTTATCTAATTTTGACCTAATTTAAAAAGCGTTAAGCATGGATTTGCAGATCTGTCCGTGCTTTAATTTTCGCGTGTTTCATGTGTATTTGCGATATGAGCCAGTACATGGAAATAGACGATTTTTAGATCTTTTGTCTCAAGCGACCACAGTGGAATCGCCACTCGCTTGATTCTTAAAATGAGTTAGTTTAATTTTATCTCGAAAAGCGTTAGTTAGGATACAGCGATATTAAAAAGCTAATTTCTTGGCTCTTCGATCCGCCTCAATTGTCAAATGAAACCAGAAAGAGCTGTTTTTACCTCTCCTTCCTGGTGCTATGAGCACAGTGTGAAGAAATTGATCCTGAAACCGTGGTTTAGGACACAAAAAATTCAATTCATAAAATTCACAAAATTTTGATTAATTTTAAAATCTTGAATTTTGGTTCAGCAGTTCGGAGAAATCCAAATTCGTTGTTTTGCACTTCCAGGGTCCAATTATCCGACTAGATACATACGCGTACATGATCAGACATGATCGATTTATACAAAAAGACATACTTCGATTCAGCGATCAGCTACAATTATAGTATGGTTTGCCGGCCATGCATTTGACAAATTTTTCAGTTACTTTGACAAATGCTTTATCGGCTAGTGGTCAGCCTTTTGGCAGTTCTGATATTCACTTCATGACCTCAAAGGAATACCAACCCATCGCCGGTTTTTCTGACAGAGCTACTTGCACAAAGTTTGTTTGTAGAAGAAAAATTGGATTTTAGATCTAAGCCGTACTTAAAGACAAAAACAATTTCGAGAACTAGAAGTACCTCTGCTTACAATGGCGGTCGGCCGATCCATGCGTAGCGAAGTTAAAAACGACGGTTAAGACAAACGAACAAAAGAAATGACTGAACAGTCCAAAACAGTACTAATCTGTGTGCAAATCTAACCGAAACAAACCAATCAGTGGTGCTGCGCAACAAACCGGGTTTCTAGTACCCGTGAGCAGGTGGGGGAAGCAGCTGGGGAGCTGCTGTCTTAGGATAACATCTGTAGCGCCGAGGGCGCTATCGTGAAATCGGAGCCAATGAAAATGGCATGATTGAGTATCCTGATTTGTGGATTGATGATATTCACTGGCAGATTTGACGTAGGCAGTGATAGCGTCATGCCTTTGTTGAGCTGTTGATTGGCAGCCTGCAATTTCCATAGATCATTATGTAAGCAGCAAACTTATACCTAAAATTGGCTCTTCTTGAAACTCATCTCAGTCCTCTCTTGAGCAGACAACACTCATTTCTATGCAGTTTTCATTACGAATAAACAGTGAAGCATTTTTTTTTTTTGCACCAAAATTTTCATAAAATGCAAAACTAATTTGCACGAAATGATAATCCAAAAGAGAACCTTGACGACCATATCCTTGGCGAGATTCGCTAAGTTGTCCATTGCATCCTGTCCCAAGCCAAGGGTACTATCTCGATCGGCAAGTCTCAGTACGGGTAGCGTTGCATTCCCAACGATTCGATTACCGAACACCTGAAGCGCCACGTCGGCCATGACTGTTATTGTTATCGTGCCCACACGTATATTTGTGCCCTCGATATAAATATCGGCAAATGCTACTAGATCAATCTGCACACCTCCTGCAATTGAACATTCTGTAATTTCATCAAGGATTCGTGTTAACACGAAAAAACGTGATTCGACAAATACAAATTTTGCTTGCTGAAAAAATTCTACAGCCTTCCCAGAACGTAAATGTTTCATTGTATTTTTTACTACAAATATTTACACTTTTTTTAAGTGATCACTGAAGAAAGTAAAAGAGCGAGCGCTTGCTATGACAGTAAGAACGATAGAAATCATTCATTGGTATTCAAAGGACTGTTTGTAGCAAGAAACTGACCGCCACCGCGCCCACTGAGCATAATGGAAGGCGCTTGTGCTGTATGAACAACAATAGCCAGTGTCCGGTTCGGGTATTTCTCTTTCACAGCAGGCATTATGTCTCCGAGACAAACTCCGAGATCTGCCAAATCGCCAAGACTCGACAAGCCACCAGCGGCTGCCTGACGTTTGGTTAGTCGCTGGTGATGCCGATGGCGTCGACGTTCTCGAAGTCGCGCAAGCCGATGGAGCAGCACTTCGCCGCTTATATCTTCCTGAAATCAATTATCTGCGCTAATACGCTATGAAGGTTTTTGACTATTTTTTCTCCTTTTTTCTCATCTTCCCCGCGACTCGGTTAAGCATTTAAAGTAATGTCTTGAAGTTCAGGAATATATCAGTTTAGCACCGATTTGTATAATTTTTGTTACTTCAGTCGAAGGCGAGGAGGAGGAAATGGAAGCCGGAATTTTTGAGAGAATCATCGGGCTGTAGCCGCTGTCGAACTTCCAAGAAAATAAACTTAAGCCCACAAATAAACCCAACTAACAAAGCGTATCAAGGTTTCTCGTGATGTCGTGCATTTCTGCGCGATTCTTGAAGCAGCCAGATCGTTAACAGCATAATGGTTATTATTTTACAGTTTAAAATGCGCTTTCATATTTGCATTGGCTTTGGCCTTTTCCTGCATGCAGTGGATGAAGGCCATCAACTAGAACGGCAGTGTTGCGCTATGAAATCACTTGAAATCTCAACCTTCAGTATGTATGGTTAGAGAGATTGTCGAAAATTCTTGCACATCCGTATGCGATATTGGGCATTTGCAAAAGCTGGTTTTACGGTTCTAGTGATGCACAAAAATAAACCACTATTCTCGTAGAATTTATTTGCTTTCTTGTTTGTTTGATTACTGGGACGTAAGATGACGAATATGCTGTAATTCGAACAGTCAACGCATCCGTGTAGCGGGCACATATAAAAGCATAAGTTCGTTTTATGCTTAAAAAGCTCGTATATGAACATCTAGCGTTTTAGATCCGTGCTTCTGTTTATGGCGCTAATTTAGAGGCAAAAAAAAGGGCGGGAAAGAATGATGAAGAGAGGAGGAAGCTAGGTAGAAGAAAAAGAGCTTAGTTCTTTTAACCAAAGCTCACCCCGGAGTAGTCTCCGCCGCTGTCACAGGTCGTTGTTAGCAGCTGTCCAATGCCAGGTGTCTGTGGTCCTATCCGGAATGACAGAAAGTCGCGCCTGCAAATGAATGTCATTAGAGACAGCATCCATAAAAAAGGTTGCGCCGTCTGTACGAAAAAAAAGCAGTACTATATTTGTTCAGGAAGAGTACTTGTGCATCCAATATAGCAGAGAATTGATTGTGAAGTCGCTGATCATGATTTCGACCATGGACGTGCCGATTGGTGTTGGCCACTGCATCGGGAATGCACCGAACGGAGTACCACCGCGTCCGCCGGGGCTGAATTCACCGTTCAGCTCGATGTCAAATTCATATGGTGTAGCATAGTTGCGTATCATCTGAATGGTC